TGAAGTGAAAGGAGTGCGTGTAGACTGTAGACGGGTGCATGCATGCACCGGTTTGGAGATGAAAGAACTGCAATGATTGAGATCTACTAGCTCAGTGAATGAAAAAAAAAACTCCTGAAAATGGGGTACTCCCCTCCGTTCCATATTAGTTGTCGTTATACATTATTTAGCATAGATTAAGGTTTAAAAAAAACTATAATACCTTTTATTAAATGATATATGGTTAGATACGGAAGGATGGTTGATGGTAGAAAAAAAAGATAAATTTGGATTAGAAGTGTTGATGGGTCAAGTAGTACTGCATCGTAACAACTATTTTGGTAGAACGTTTTGAATCCTAGAAAGACAACTAAGGTCCCCTTTGAATCGTAGGATTGAAAAAACGGAGGAATAGGAAAAACACAGGATTCTGATAGGAATGTAAGTGTAAAACGGAGGATTGCAAAACATAGGAAAAACAGAGAAATGGTCGTTTGATTGGACCGCAAGAAAAACACAGGAATTAGAGGAGAGATAAAGACTCAAAGGAAAGTTTTCCAAGAGGTTAGGGCCCCTTTGAATCAAAGGATTTATGTAGGAATTTTATAGGATTCAAATCCTATAGGAAATTTTCCTATTTGGCACTTTGATTTAAAGGATTGAAGCTTTCCAAATCCTATGAAATTCCTATGGAATGGCACATTGCATGTAGATTTTGGAGGAAATTTAGCAAGAGCTCCAACCTCTTGGAAAATTTCCTTTGAGTCTATCTCTCTCATTCGATTCCTGTGTTTTTCCTGCGCTCCAATCAAACGACCATTCCTGTGTTTTTCATGTGTTTTGCAATCCTCTGTTTTACACTTCAATTCCTGTCAGAATCCTGTGTTTTTCCTATTCCTCCATTTTTTCTACCCTGCGATTCAAAGGGGCCCAGGATTTCATTCCTATACGAATTTTTCCTATACAGCCCTTTAAATCAAAGGAATGAATCTTATGGAATCCTATAAAATTCCTATGGATTGTCTAATGCCATGCAAGTTTTGGAGGAATTCTAACATGAGGTAAAACCTCTTGGAAACTTTCCTTTGAGTCTTTATCTCTCCTCTAATTCCTGCGTTTTTCCTGCGGTCCAATCAAACGACCATTCCTCTATTTTTCCTGTGTTTTGCAATCCTTTGTTTTACACTTACATTCCTATCAAAATCCTACGTTTTTCCCATTCCTATGTTTTCTCATTCCTGCAATGCAAAGGGGCCCTTAGAGTGGATGTTAAATTTCCTACATTTTCCCTCTAGAATCATAGGAATAGGAAAGTTTCCTACGTTTTTCCTTTTCTCATTCCTACGAATCAAAGGCATGAATAGTGTAGGATTTCAATTCCTTTGTTTTTCCTCCATTTATCCTCCAATTCAAAGGAGAGTAATAGTATACTTGCTATTTTCATAATACTCCCTCCATTTCAATTTAATTATCACAAGATTTTTAAGTTCTTCTTGAAATGATCATCATCTAATAAATGCAGATATTCGTATATTTGTGCAAAGAGTAAATGAGCATCCTTAAATATCCTGCATGCACATGCAACATACCCAAATTAATTTATGTCGGTGCAACACCATACAATATTTAAAGTGTGACTTAATATGTGGGATACGAAACATAGAACATCTTGATTGATGAGGATTAATTTTAAAATGGACATTTTGTTTCGGCGCCCATTAGGTTATGTTCTTTAGCCTAAGGTCTTGTTTGGATCCTCCATACTATTAAATAGCCCTCCAAAATTTTGCTATTTAGGAGTATTAAACGTAGATTCCTGACAAAACCAATTTCATAATCCCTAGGCTATTTTACGAGACGAATCTAACGAAGTATATTAATCCATGATTAGCTGATGATTATTGTAGTATCACTGTAGCAAATCATGAATTAATATACCTCGTTAGATTCGTCTCGTAAAATAGCCCAGGGGTTATGGAATGAGTTTTGTCAGTAATCTACGTTTAATACTCCTAAATAGTAAGAGCCGGAGGGCTATTTAATAGCCCGGAGGATCCAAACATAGCCTAAGTTTCCAACTCATCTCTCTCGTTTTCTATGCGCACACTTTCTAAACAGCTAAATGGTTCTATAGGAAAGTTGCTTTTAGAAAATCATATTAATCCATTTTCATGTTTTTATAGCTAATACTTAATTAATCATATGTTAATCCATTACTCCGTTTTGCGTGTGGAGGGGTGGGGTTTCCAACCCCTCCAAAAGAACACAACCTTACTAAGGTGGTGATCAATTCAGAATGGAGGGAGTATAAGCATTTATGCGTGTTTTTAAAAATGTATCCAGACGGAAGGATCTCTACATATATTTTGAAAAACACGCAGAATTGATTATATCGACCTTATGCACAATGTAATGCAAAATTTGAAATATTTATATTGATCTTTGTTTGGAAGTCCCTTTTCCCAACATCACTCTTTTTTTTTACACGTACGCTTCCCAAACTACTGAACAGTGTGTCTTTTACAAAAAAAAATCTATAGAAAAGTTGCTTTAAAAAATCATACTAATCTATTTTTATAATTTTTAATTAATTATGTGCTAATCCGCCGCTTTGTTTTACATGGAATGGTTCCCAAACCCTTGATGGTGAACACAGCTAAAAAAATTCATCTGTGTTGATCTTCTAAGGAAAGAAACATCTATGCTGAACATCTAACACTTCTATAACCAAAGTAAAATCTTGTGGTGCAAAGCGCAATTTAGAATTAAGTTTTAAAATTTAAATTTTTACTACGGATAAACTAAAGATTAAACAATGGGATTGATAGGCACGTATTCTGGCCCATAAAATAGAGAGCGTTGCTTCTCTACGATGCTACGCACATCAGCCCAGCCATTTAATCCAATTATACGGGCCAGTTTACTGCATATTCACAGGTTAGTTTTCTCCTCGGCATTTGGCCCAGTTTTGGCCCATGAGGACTTGGGATGATCTGGTGTGGCCGGCGCTGATGCGACCAATGGAATAATCCGTTTATGTGCTAATTAACTATGGTATATGCCCGTTAATTTCAAAAAAAAAACTATGGTATATGCCCACTGATTTAGGTAGAGGGAGAGCTTAGATTGTTTGAATCTCTTCAAGAAAAAAAACAAGGAATTTGGATGTGACCTGAGCACATGAGATTTAAGGAAGGTGATCGCTTTCTTTTCCATTTGTTTTGACACACCAACAACACGATAAGTTTAAGGGTATTGGTGGATTAATCCTAATTATTCTTCAATATTACTAGAGTAAACGAGGAGCATGGCTACTTCAATTATGATCTTTGTACTACTAGCTTAGTTTCAGACACTACTATGAAACTTTTTTTTTTCATCAGAAGTTTCTCACTTTCTGTAGCTTGTTTGCCGCACCTGCAAGTTACCAGAGTATATGTATTCCCCCTTCTCCAGATGAGATGCTAACAGCTTACGTGCAAAGTACAAACCTTTTTGTAGGCAAATGCTATCACATTGAATAATTTCCCCCTTTTTGTATTTGTGGGAGCCAACAAAGAATCAGTGCACTACTGCAGTCTTTCATGCATCTCAAGATGGAGAGCACTACAGCATATGTTCAGATTCTTTTTATTTCTCTGCGGTTATCTTGATTTCCCCCCCCCCCCCCCCCCAAAGAGTATTCTTCGGTTCCAAAAGAAGTTTAGCATTTTAGGCTTAGATTGGTTTCATACTCCCTCCATTTCAAAATATAGGGATAACCACCCTTAACGCAAAAATCAAGAAATAATTATTATCATCTTATAGTTTAGATCATCCTAATAAATATAATGCATGCATCCAATAGAATTAGATAATATGAGAGTGGAGGATTTAAAAAAGTAATAATTTAATGGAGAAAATGCTATAGTTAATTACATGCTTGTATGCATGCCTTATATTATGGAACATCTAAGAAAAATGATTGTGCCTTATATTATGGAATGGAGGGAGTATTATTTACCAAATTATTGAAACAGGTTATCTGCTTCACACTTTGAAAAATATATTTTCAAGAAAAAACCTTTATTCTACTGTATTAATTATAACACTAGTTTTAAATTAAGTTTATTTATTAAAAATTAATTTATCCCTAAAATCTAGTACATAATCGCATTAATAGTCCGCTCAATAATGTATTTTAATCTGAGCCTTACAAAGGCTAAAGGGTTTTATTGCTTATAACATTTCACGTGAATTCAAACCATAGTGTTCCAACATTAGGAATTTTTGACAATAACCTAAGTGGCGAAATTCAAGAAGAATACTAATGAGGCGCCTACAAATCGGGCGTTGTTCTACCAAGTAGATCGAAAATGTTTCAATCGTTTAAAAAGCTGGAACACAACCAAATCACCTCATGGAACATTTTGCTACAATGTATGAAACAAACGGTTTCCAAAAAAAATCGGGTGCTGTTTCACCATATATAAAAATGATATTTCAGCAAATAATGAAATGATGTTTCAATTATTCACTGCAATATTTGATCTATACGTAGTGAAACATCACGAGTACACTTGCTGCAACATTGTTAGTGGAACAAAAATTGAAACGAATTCCCTTAATAGAACGTTTCCAAAATATGTCGGCAATTTGTTGCAACGGCGCATGTGGTGGGCGCGTGGTGGGGACGGCGCGGAGGCCCGGGAGGCGCGCGCGGAGGTGCAGGAAGCTTGGGAAAGGGTAGATGCTCGATTTTTCTGGCGCTGATCGGGCGCCCGATCCCCGGTATTTTTGGAATACTAAAACCTGATCCTAGCAGGAGCAAAATGACTCTAATAGTCAGTTTGTTCTAACTTGGACAATAATTTTTTCCTTCTATTATATTCAATGAAATTGACGTATTCCAAGAGCCATTTTTTCTTTTTTTTTAAAAAAAATGTTTGTGTTTGTGTCCGACTCAGACTACTCAATACTGCTAGCATTCAGAGACGGTAATGTCAACAAAAGAAAAGACTTTCAGAGACGGTTGGTCAGCTGTTCTCCGAACAAAACGAACAACCAGCCAACCACTGCTCACCTGACGGAGACAATTTTATTCCCCTTCGTCTCCTCTCCTCTCCTCTCACTCTCCTCTCCACGCCACGCAAGAGATACTCCTCCTTCGCAAGGAACAGAGGTAATTGATTGATGGATTCCTTTCTCCCTTCCTTGCACACCACCCCAAAATCCATAGAGACCTCATTCTCATCTTCAATCCAATTTAGAATCTTTTTTTTTCCCTGCACCAATTCCACACGTCTGGTTAGTCGTTGATTCCTTTAGTCCTAGTATAGGGTTATTCTCTCTGCACTTAATCTTTGAGGAGGGAGAGTATCCCGTTTTCTTTAGCTTAGGCAGCGCTGCCGCCGCCCGGGTCTTGGGTTTGGGGTCTCCTTCGCCGCCGGCGGACATGGCCAAGCGGCGGAGCAGGTTTTCTTTTGCTAGGTATATCGGCTGCGAATCGGCCTGGATTAGAGGGAATATGCAGTTCTTGGGTTTTGCCGATTAGGAAAAGGATCTTTCCCTCGAAGGCCAATTTGTGGGCTAGTTGGAGAGCCCTGATTTTTTAGCCTCCTTTTATGATTTTTTGTTAGATAATGGGCCTCGTTTTATGATTACTAGACAGAAATTAGAACAGAATAAGATTGAAATAACTTCTAGAGTATTGATGAATTTTGCCATAGTTTACTTGTATTGTCTCTCTAGTTTTGGCATTGGTAATTCGCACTGCTCCTAGTCTTAGTTATTTTTCATTGAAGGAATTGCTTTGTTCTTTTGCTAGGTTGAGCTGCTTCCGAAGCCAAAGTCGGGCCAAGATGGCAGATGTAAGGATTGTTTCCATCTGTGTTTCATTATGAATCCAGTGAATTGTGCTGCTGTTTTGCTTTACATTGGAGCATTGCAATGGAGATGAGATGGTTGGGGTGTTCTTGTGTAGGATGACTATCCGGTCAAGCTGCATATATACGATCTTAGCCAGGGGATGGCGCGGCAATTGTCAACAACAATCCTTGGCAAGGCTATTGAGGCAATTTGGTGAGTATCGCTAAATATTTTGGGCATTTGATACTGTATTTTTCTAGAAAAACATAATCTTGTACTTTCTCCGTTTCATAATCTAAGTCATTCTAGCATTGCCCATATTCATATGGATGTTAATGAATCTAGATATGTATATGTCTAGATTCATTAATATCCATATGAATTGTGGACAATGCTAGAATGACTTACATTATGAAACGGAGGGAGTAGTACATTTTCCTTTTCCTCCTGGTAATGAGATTGGTTACGGTAGGATAATTAGAATATCTGTTTAAGCCATGCATTCATGTCTGTCACCGTATGAACCTTAACTCTAGTTTTAGTTGTGTCTCTAGGGACCCCAAATTCACCATGCTACATATGTTGTTATGGCCTTGTGAACGTTTTTCTTGCTTGCTTATGAGTAGTCTAGATATCTGCTATTATGTGCAAGAATATGCAAATGAGCTCTGTTGTCCATCCTTGTGCATCCTATGACCACATGATGGTGGTCTTTTAGACATGACCAAAGGTTGCAAATGACTTGAGCAAAGCTCTAAATTTCTGATTATATATACTAGCAATCATGAGTCATGACTCTATTTGGAAAAGTCTTTCACTTCTACTGATTTAAGTAACAAAATACCCCTACCTTTCTTCTCGTTGAATTGCTGAAATTAGGTAGCATCATTGCTTCATACCTATTAGGGAAGGAAATAGTTTTGCTATATTGCCAGTATTATTGGTATGTTCTTATAGCAGTTTGGTACCAACAGCAATGCATAGGAAAAAAAAAGTACATTTATTCACTTAAACATCATAAGAGGCATCTTTAAGTTCGTCTTTGTTTCATTCTTCAACATCTTGTAGTTTCAGATGATGCGAAAACTGCTTTTGTCGACGCTCTTGAATTATATTCTCCTGCAAAATTTTCTTCTGAAACAGAGATGGCCTCCGATCATCGCAGGCATACAGGGGTGGTAGTCTACGGGAAGGAGTACTTCTTTGGCGGCGGCATTCAGAAGGATCATCCCGGAAGAACACCGTACGGGACCCCGGTCAGGGTGGAAGATCTTGGGGTCACCCATGTCCCCAGGGAGATCTTTGAGGACTTCCTTCAGGATATCAACCCAAGGTACACTCCTGCAAACTACAACCTCCTCAGCAACAACTGCAACAACTTCACCAATGAAGCCGCGCAATTCCTCGTCGGTTCCGCCATCCCGAGCTACATCCTGGAGCTGCCCAATGAGGTGATGAACAGCCCGATCGGCGCGCTCATATGTAAGAATCCCCAATTCTATTAGATCTCATTGTGCCTTGTCCAGTTAAAAATTGAGTGAACATTTTGAACTTAGCAGCAAAATTGCGCGTATTCTGAATTATGAAAACTTGATATTATGTTTTGGGTTTTCAGTGCCGATGATTCAGGGGTTGGAGACAAGCTTGCGAGCTGGAGTTGCTCCTCAGCCGCCGCAATTCAAGCCTTCTCCGGTGGCGGCAGTGACGGCGACGCAGTCACCACCATCGGGTAGCATCCATGTCGAGCCGAAATCGACCGCCTCCGACAAGACGGAGGTTGACAACAACGGCGGCGGGATTCCGCCGGCGGTACAACCTGCTCCGGTGGCGGCGGCGACGTCACCAGCAGCAGTAGCCGAGGCGAGCATGGCGCCGCCGCCTCCGGTGGATCCGCTCCGGGAGGCGAAGAGCCGGGTGCAGGAGGAGATAAAGAGGGAGTTCGCGGCGATCATGGCGACGGGCGCCGTACAGGCCGGCGAGGCGGCGGCGCTCGCGACGAGGAGGGTCATGGAGCGGCACGGGCTGCGTCGCGCCGCCGTCGCCGGCGGCGGCATGCAGCGAGGGTAGAACGGTCACATTTGCACCCACACGAGCATGTTCAATTGTATATATATACGTGCAAGAACAGGGAAGCTCATTGCGTAAATCCATTTATATTTACACTCTTATCCGAGATCTTTAGTGTTCGTGGCTGTGTTTTTGCATCAAATTGGAAGAAGAAAAGAGAAAGTGAAAAATCCAGGAAATGATACAAAATCGTGTCGAATTCATCGGGAACAATACGAAATTCAATTGAAAAAAGATTTGGAAATACAAGTACACTGATGGCTAGAAAAAAGGAAAAAAAAAACAGGGATACTAAATTTAATGCAGAAAGCGACCACCGGAGCGGCGAGGCAACTGGCCGCCGCCGGCGGCGGCGGCGGCGGCGGCGGCGGCGGCGGAGCTCACGTCCGCACCCAGGCGGCGAGCTGGGCGGGGTTCACCACGCCGGGAACGCGCGCCCCGCCGCCGTGCACCAGCGCCGCCACGGCCTCGTACCGGCCGCCGCCGCCCTCCTCCGGCGTGGTGCCCGCGGCGAGCCGCTCCCCGAGCACCGTGCCGGCGGTGAGGAACTCGTGCGCGAGGTACCCGGCGAGCAGCCTGCTCCCGGCGCCGGGGGCCGCGTCCGGCGAGCCACCGGCCGCGCCGTCCCTGCCCTTCCGCTTCCTCGCCGGAATCCGCCCCTGCTGCTGCTGGGCCTCCATCGCTAGCAGGCGACCACGACGAGGGGAGGGAGTTTTGGGTTGCGAGTGGGAGTAGAGCGGCATGCCTAACGCCACCATAATCACGTTTTTTGTTGGTCGATTTGGCAAGCAAAACATTTTTTTAATAAAAGATAATTATCCTCCCCCTTAAAACCACCAAGTATGATTCGCTCCCTTTACCATAGAATCAGATATTGTGACCTCTTATTCATCCTACGTAATGTTTACGTGGCATATTAACTTAGTTTCCATTCGGTATATTGGCTAAGTAGTACTTGCGTTTATATGTCATTATACTCGGCAAAAGAATTTAAAGGTTAAAAATAGTAGGACCTTTATGTCGGTGATCACAATCTTGTTCCTTCACCACTCCTCTCTCCCCTCTCTCTGGTGGTAAACCGGAGGCAAATGAGAGGGTGCCTGATCCACTGCGTCCAAGATCTAGGAGGCTGCTGGAGGGCGGCGGTGATGAGATGAGCCAGAGGTAGGGGAGCAGAGCTGCGATGGCTTGATCATCTCTATGCACTATAGCTGATGCTTGCCATAGTATCCATGTCACAATTCCCAAGCCCAAGGAAAGAAGGAAGGAGGACAAGTCAGAAACACCTCTTGCACTTCCGGGAGGACCACCACCACCATAAGAAATGCGTTGGCTCTTATAAGAAGTTATGTTGACTCTTGTTTACGCGTTACCTTGTAGAGGTACTGGAGGATGTTGTCGAGGGATTCCTACTCTTGGCTAAAGTTGCGGTTGCGCATTAACGTGATGACCTCCATAGCCTTCTCCTCACGGTTCCGCTGTGACAAGGAGTTAGGGTTGGTCCAAAGTATGAGTGATGTCGTTGGTGGCTTGATGGGTGAGGAGGGGGCATACCTTTTACCTCATGATGGAAAAGGAGTCCTAGCCATCCTCATCGTTATGTCTCTATGATCATTGTTGTCGCTGACTAATCCTCTCTAGTGCCCCATGTGATTAGATTCGGTTGCTCCATGACAACTAACCTACTTAGGTAGCGATGAGGCAAGGGTTGGTGGAGGGATCGGCGATATCCATGCAAGAAAGGAAGGAAATATTCTATCCAGTGTTGGGAGAGTCGGTGCTTGAAGCAGCAAGATCAAGATGGAGGTGCGAAGTGAGATAAGAGAGAGAAAATGGCTAATGACATGTATGACTTATAATTTATTTTCTTTTAGTTTGTTTGGTGAATAGACCGTCGCGTCAATCGGAACTGCTGTGTAAACCATCCAGGGAGTGATTTGCACTAGTTTAAATAGTTTTGGAGCCTACATGGCTGGTTCTACTAGTGTGGAGGAAAATGGGACATTGTAATAGTTTAGGAAGGCGAAATGAACTTTTTTCCTTTAAAAGAAAGATAAAAAAAAGTTTTATGGGCCATCAGGCCATCACTGGTCAGGCCTACAGGATACAGATAAAGGCCAACCAGGCCTAGTTATCCTTGTGGCCCAGTCCATCTCAGAAATTAAAGCCCACTTGACATCTCAAGCCCCCCCTCCTCCCCCCCCCCCCCTCTACCAGAGGGGCAAATCCGTGAATATTTCCATCTTCCTCGGCGCAGTTTCGCAAGCCACACCTCCTCCGACCGGCCATCATCGGCGGAAATGTCAAGCATTTAGATCCACAGAAAATTCAAATTCATTTCTTGGAGTTCGCATCAATGTCAACATTACGCGAATTCATGTCTCGATTGATAAATACAGCAGTGGTCATTGTGTTGATTTGGGGAACATGAATGTTCTGTTCCCAACACTGGTGCGGTTGACTCCTCTCCCGAAAAACAAGAAATGCCAGGAGTCTGTGAAGAAATTCTCATCTTCAGGTTTGGTTCACAGTGTTCGAGCTCAGTGATATCTCTTTACAAGGGATCAGAAATTGCACAACGGCACAAGCATTCTCAGATGAGCAATGCAGGTTAGCTCTTAGTGCTATGTTCTTTCAATTGCACATGTAAGTATCTCTACACATTACCCACTTTCAAGATTACTCATTCACTTTCCATAATCCTTTTTCTGATGCACTCATGGTTTGGATTGTTTCTATGCGTTATCTGAATGCCTTTACTCATATTTACAATGCTAAGATTAATAGATTATTCTTATATATATGTGGCAACACTGAAGCACTGCATGTTTCTTTTGTTGCAGAGAGGGAACAGGTTTTGGTGACAGGATGACCTTCTAGAAGTGAAAGTGGATTTTCAGATAAGAATTATTTATCCCTAGTACTACATCATCCATTTTAATTCCCTATATGTCTAATCAAACCTGCTAACAGGAAACATTTTTAGTCCATGACAGTTCAATTTAGGCTTTCTGCATCTGGATCAAACTTTGCCAGTTCTTCCGTTCATGGTACCGTGAGGTAATTTTGCTATCTGAATTTTCCTTTTTTTTTCCTAAATGAAGTCTCTGGATTTTGATCCATTGGTCTTACAACTCTTAAAACAATCTGGACATATGATTCATCAACAAAATCATCCAAAAATCATCTTTAAGACAGTCCTACAACACCTGCTATTACTTCAGTTTGCTTCAATCACAATGGAAAGATCTTGGCAGCTTCTGCAACAGATGGGAATGATCCACATGTATGGTATCCTTTTATTTTAATCGTAATTTAGCTTCATGTATGTTGCTAAGTTATTTGCTTTTGATCTGGAATCTAGACAGCTAGGACCTGTTGCATTGTCTGTTGTATGAGCCCCCTATCAATAAATTATTTTTCCAATGCTTAGATCAGTATAAGAAAATTAACTTCTGCTATATTTGTTATAGGTTAATGATGACGTCATAAGTCCATGAATTAATTTTTTAACATGACAGTTATCTCTTTTTGCAATTTTACATGGTCCTCATGATTTAATTTCATGTTAACCGTATGGTTTTTATACATCTGAGTGGCGCCTGCGCAATCAAGGTCAGATTCTTTGATGAATCATTACTGAATCTCCAATGTAGCTAATGCTATTACTTTTACTGACGTAGGGGCTATTTAAAACTGGTACGAATATTTTTAAATTTAATTTGATTCACAGAGTTGCTGGGGGTGGAAGTGTTATAAATGCATAACAAATAAATTCGTTTACTGTAGCCACTCTAGAATCTTGGCAACATGTATTGAACTATTCATCCCTCTGTGTTCTCTTTGGCAACTCATTATTGCATTAATATTGCTTGCCACATGGACATCACAATCACACCATTTTTTTAAAAAAAACATTAGGCCCTGAAATATGTCTGGACATTTTTTTTGGGGGTTATTTGCTTGAAACTCTCGAATACTGGAGAAGAATTTTGATATTGTTTAAATACAGCGTGTGGATAATTAAGATTGCATCTTTCTACTAGTAACCTTGAGATCTCCACGTGAATGCAAGAGCTTCTAATGTCTGATATAACTTAAGATTTCTTGATGCTGAGCCAAAATTCGGAAGCTTTTCACGTAGGATTGAGCTGCATTTTCATCAGTCCAGAGAGTTGTATTTCGAGGCTATCTGTATGTTCTACCTGATTGAGACACTGTATTTAGCATTGGGTTCTGACGGCAAGAGGCTGTTGGTGTCCATCATCGGTGAGATTCTGCAACATTTTTTGTTGTAAAACTGGTCAAAAGTTCTGTAATCTTTACAAGTAGGATTTGGGAATCAAAATGCAAACAGTTTTGTAATCTTTGTAACGGCAGCTGGTGATGAACAGTGTGTGGTGTGAACCATTTGTAACCATTTGTTTGTTGCCACATTGGAGCCTAGCATTTGATCCAAACTCGTACAAGATAGTACAGGGCCCAAGTGCTAGCTACACTGTGCCAATGTTTGGACTATGGGGGAATTAACATTTGTTGCATCTCCTTGAAAAAAAGGGCATTATTTGTTGCATAGTAGATCTAGCACTGTTTGTGTGGTTGGGGCCGAATTGGCTCCTCTAAAAACAGATGTCATATAGTCCTATGTTACGTACAAAACTATATCTCAATACTGTGAGAGTTTATATGTATACTCTTTTAAAATGGAGTTGTGGTGATGGTAAGTGATGAATCTGGTTCTAGAAATATAAAAGAAACGGGTTCTAGAGGGCATGTTAACCATCACACTATCAACTTCATATTTTGCATGAGAAGAAAAATAATAGCATGGGGCCAGATGGCTTACATATGTCAATAAATATATTTAGAAATTAATTGATGATATATAAGCAGAAAAAAAATTAACAAGTTAATAGTAGTTTTTGTTAATAAAATTTTTATTATTACACATGGACAGTATGAAGTCTCCATGTGGGTCAATGGCTATCCCTGACAAGTTTTCATGTCTAAAGAAATCAGAGCAGCAGAGTTGCTGTTCGAACTATGCTTGGTATCCTATCATTTGTTCCTTTTGGGTTGTTAAACATGATGAGAAATTGTACTCTGGAGCAACCAAACA